AGGGGTCGTAAGTCAAATTGTCATTAGTATTTTTAAGTTAAATATGGAACTTATTCTTTTTTAAAGATCAGTTCTTTTTTTTTCTTAGGGGTCGTAAATCAAATTTTTTTTAAGTTAAGTTAAGTTATTTACGTTCGTTTTTCATTTTCGTTGTTAGGGGTCGTAAGTCAAATTGTTATTAGATTCTTTAAGTTGGATATGGAATCATGATATGCATAGGTCAAAATTTTGTTTAAATTCTTTTCGTCAGGTCAAATTTCAAGTTGGAGATGAAACCAATTCTTTATTTGTTCGCTTTTGGGTAGGTGAACATATTTTTTAAATTCTTTTCGTCGTTTTAGTCTGTTTTAGATAGTGATCATCCTATGGAACCAGGCGCCCAGGAGTTTCCTATAAAACCCTCCTTTTTATTCCTTCCATTTAGACCCATTTTAGTTCAATTTCACAATCTTCAGGTTGTGGAATTAAATTAAAATGGTAGATGGATCTTGAAAGTACTTTCTGGATTTGGTCTCGGAACATCGGTAATCCGTGCCAACCCGTTTTTAACGTGGAGCATGTTGTTGCGCACCGGCGCTAATCTATTTGTAACTTAATTATCTGTCGTTTTCCTTCTCTACCCTTCCTATTACCCTAATCCCTTCGATTGGACCTGACGTGGACATCTTGGACTTCTTGGAACTTCAGGGTGCGAGTGAATCTTATATGCGAGTATGTATACAACCAGTAAATTTGTTTTTTGCGTGTTTTTGTTTATTTAAATACTTTATCTGTTTTAGGAAATTTTAGGTACATAATATGATGAGGAGGGTGGAGGGTAACTCCGCCAGGTATTTTTAACCTGCCGGTCCCAAGCCCGGATAAAGGAGGAGGGCCCCCACTCTTTTCTATTTTTTTAGATTGTTTTAGTCGGGTTTTAGGTTGTAGATGGAACAGGTGGTTTTTGTCAGGTTGGAACTTTTTCTTTTTTAAAGATCAGTTCTTTTATTTCCTTTTAGTATAGACTTAAGGAATTCCTATTTAGCACCTTGTTTAGGTAGGTAATTGAACGTTTTCATATTTTAAATATCAGTTCTTTTGGTATGAACTTAATACTATAAAGTACATAAGTCAAATCTCTTTTAGGTTCTTTTTGTGTTGTTTGGGAGACTGTAAGGGCTGAAAACCATTAATGTAATTTTAACCTTTACTTTCTACAGAAATTATCTTTATGGAAAGCAATTAACCAACCAGAGTGCGGCATTCTCAACAGCACACTAATACAGAAACGGAAACAGTAATGATGCGCTTGACTTGCTTTTATTGTTGCCACTGTACGTTTTATCTTAATAGTTTCTTTTTATATATGTACGCAAATATTCATCTAACAATTGTTCCAAACAATTGTTTTAAAACAACAACACACGTGTGTTCTAGACTCATTATCGCTGACCAATTAGATCGGGTATTTTTAGAGAGGTAGAATTTTAATAAACTAAATAAATTTTCAGTAAATAATATTGTATATTTACTAAATATACCTAATTATTTTATTCTATCCTGTTACATTTTTATTTACTTAAATAAAAATCTTATATTAATTTAATTCATTATTTAAAACAGGGGAATGCGTTGGTAAATATAAAATATAACTAGTTTGTTTAGTATTTTGTAATTTTTGTTCGGGAACCTTTATGACATTAATCCGGCAACACTGTACATACCATAAAACAGCAGTTCGACTGTCGAACATATGCCTATGCGTTGCGAAGAATTGTTATAGATATTATACCTTATGTAATCAACATGTACAGTGTGATCCCCTATAATGTCGCCCCCCCTTAACTTTTTTATTTTAAGTCTCGCAAAAAATTTTACTACGGATAAAAAAAATGGAAAATCGATCAATATACAGGGAAAAACAAAAAGATTATTTTTTTTCAATGGATCACCCTATATAGTAAATTTAAAAGTAAACTACGTACACGTCATCAATAAAACAAAAATTTTACGCATTGGTACCAACACTAAATGACTAAATCGAAGTCTGTAATTGAATATTTGAATGCATTTTAACCAAATTAAGTTGGCAACAATTGTGATGTTGTCATGTTTACATTCAAATTTTTCATATTTAAATGACACATAAAAAAGAATTTGACGTTTTAGAATTTCGAAGCTGTCAGTTGTGTTTTTGAATATTTCGTTTAATTCGTGTATTATTTCGTGTATTTTGTTTGTTGTTTGTGTTATTTTATATCGTTTAAGTTTTCATTGCCGTTTTTGTGTTTGTTATATATCGTTTTTTTTGTGTTTCCTATATTTAAAATGCCGAAGCATTTAAATAGTCGGAGTCGAGAGTTGGTGTCATCCTTAATACGCTATTTTGAGGCAGAACGGGATAATAATGGACCTTTGTTACCTTTAACAGCTGTTAGAGAGGTAAATAGGATTATTATTAATTATATATTAGAATATTTAACAAAATATATGTTGGATACATGAAATAATAATATATATACCTGAGACTGACTTTAGATGGCAAAATTTTTGGGTTTTATATCAGAAAATGTCTTTAAAAATGGCTAAAAACCTACTTTTGGCATTTTGACATTTTGGTATTCCAAGGTCCCAAATCTAGGGACCCTGTGGTATTATTACCACTTTCACTTGATGCAATGATTTTAGCATCACATTGACAACCTTGCCCGAATGATGACGTGTACGTCGTTTCCTTTAAGATTTACTATAATTAGTAATAAATTAATTAGTAATTAATTTATTAATTTGTTCTCAAAAAATTTGATAATAGAGGTGATTTTGATTAATTTTAATTTTAATTTTAATTTTAATTTTAATTTTAATTTTAATTTTAATTTTAATTTTAATTTTAATTTTAATTTTAATTTTAATTTTAATTTTAATTTTAATTTTAATTTTAATTTTAATTTTAATTTTAATTTTAATTTTAATTTTAATTTTAATTTTAATTTTAATTTTAATTTTAATTTTAATTTTAATTTTAATTTTAATTTTAATTTTAATTTTAATTTTAATTTTAATTTTAATTTTAATTTTAATTTTAATTTTAATTTTAATTTTAATTTTAATTTTAATTTTAATTTTAATTTTAATTTTAATTTTAATTTTAATTTTAATTTTAATTTTAATTTTAATTTTAATTTTAATTTTAATTTTAATTTTAATTTTAATTTTAATTTTAATTTTAATTTTAATTTTAATTTTAATTTTAATTTTAATTTTAATTTTAATTTTAATTTTAATTTTAATTTTAATTTTAATTTTAATTTTAATTTTAATTTTAATTTTAATTTTAATTTTAATTTTAATTTTAATTTTAATTTTAATTTTAATTTTAATTTTAATTTTAATTTTAATTTTAATTTTAATTTTAATTTTAATTTTAATTTTAATTTTAATTTTAATTTTAATTTTAATTTTAATTTTAATTTTAATTTTAATTTTAATTTTAATTTTAATTTTAATTTTAATTTTAATTTTAATTTTAATTTTAATTTTAATTTTAATTTTAATTTTAATTTTAATTTTAATTTTAATTTTAATTTTAATTTTAATTTTAATTTTAATTTTAATTTTAATTTTAATTTTAATTTTAATTTTAATTTTAATTTTAATTTTAATTTTAATTTTAATTTTAATTTTAATTTTAATTTTAATTTTAATTTTAATTTTAATTTTAATTTTAATTTTAATTTTAATTTTAATTTTAATTTTAATTTTAATTTTAATTTTAATTTTAATTTTAATTTTAATTTTAATTTTAATTTTAATTTTAATTTTAATTTTAATTTTAATTTTAATTTTAATTTTAATTTTAATTTTAATTTTAATTTTAATTTTAATTTTAATTTTAATTTTAATTTTAATTTTAATTTTAATTTTAATTATTTGTTATTGTCGTCGTCATTGTTATTTTTATTGTCATGGGCATGGTCATTGCCGTATATTTTAAGTAAATTACATTATTTTAGTTTTTACTGTTTAAAACGTGTTTTTTTAAACTATTAATTTTTTAGGACTATTCCGGTTACAAAAAAATGTTGTTAAGACTATTAATAGTATATTTATGTATATTTTATCAAACATGTTGATTTTTTTATACAGTAATATAACTTAAATCTATAGGTCAAAGCAATCGAATCAAATATAAAATTTTAATAAAAATTAAAAGAAATAATTTAAATAACCATTTATGTAGGTGTTACAAAAATTGATTCTATCCTCCGTGAATCTGTTTTTGCTTTAAATTTTATGCAACGGATTAATCATTTTAAATAAGCAAAAACCTCTGACATTATAGATGCATGTGATTCCTGAATGTCAGTTAGAATTTATATGCAGATGAGAGTGTTGCTGTTTTATAATTCAAAAGTTTAAGTTCATTAATTTGCTATTTAAAAACCTATCCATATCTCAGTAAGTAGATTTTTTGTATAAATATTTTATGTACAATTGTATTTTTTAAAAATATTAAGGTGTCAAAAGATACAATAACTTATTTCAAATGTACAAAGGAATGTTAAAAAAAAACATACGAAATCCTAACCTCCGTGAAGCTATCTTCCGTGAAGCTATCTTCCGTGAAGCTCCAATATTCAAAATTTATGATTTCTTAAAATTCTTGCATTAGTGCAGAACCACTTATGTTATTACTAGACATGGTGGCTTCCCAAAAACCCCATTCTAGACTAACAGTAAAACAACCAAAAATAATTTATAATGTAAAATCATATGAAATTGTTTCCTATTATAATAATGTATTAAAAATATACACATTTATAGGTATATAATTTGTATTTGTCATTTCTCGTTACAGAGAACGGCGTGGAGATAATAAAATAAGGAAAAGAATTGATGGGAATTCCAATTTCGTGCATAATTATCAACAGCGTCGACCTCTTCATTCCGAATAAAAAATTTAGTTAAGCGATAATGTTGTTATAAAGTGTTTGTATTAGTTTATTATAGTGCTGGATAAAATGCCAACTAGCTATGGATTGCTTAGCACTCTTTTCATCTGTGTAGTTATAAGTCAGTTTTCCCCATAAATAAGTGTAAATGTGATAATTTATTTTTCTTGTTCATTTATAGGCAGTGAAGTGCAAGCAAACAGAAATTGGACGTCAACCAGAATAAAACGGCAAGCAGTTGGATGCGGGTAAATTTATTTTTGGAAATTTTGCTGATAAAGACTAATAAATAAATTATTTTTCATCAAAATAATAAACAATAATTTTCAAGGCCAAGACAATGTAAGTTACAGCGTCCAAGAATTTTAGGACCGGTTTTTGCTATGAAAATACCTTCATGATTATTTAAATGGCAGACTTAATAAAAACATTGTTTACGTTGCACTTAATTAACCTTTTGAACGTCAGCACGAATTTGCTTGTCTATTAAAATCATAGAAATATAACACGATATTTCTATGATTATTTTTTTTTGCAAACACTGTTAAAAGTTTACTTCTTAACGTTAGCGTCAGTGTCTAAATGTCATTTTATGAGAATGGGGTGAGAAAGATAGGGACAAACAACTTACAGACCAAAGGGTTGAAATTTTGACAGTGTCAGCAAATTCAGTAGTGTCAATCTAGTAAAAATAAAACGTTGTTTTTTAATTAACAAATTATTACTTTATTACAAATTTAATAATCAATAAAATCTAAAAATAACATAAAAAATAAATAAGTAACAAAATAAATTGGTAATTTGTTGTTATAATGTCAAAATTAAGGTTTTAAACTGTCATATTTTTGTTCCTTAACTTGGCAGCACGAACTTTGAAATGACAATTTCAAAAAGTGCTAATAAACATTTCCATAATAGTATATTAAAGAACTAAGGTCATAAGACGTCATATTGACAAAAGGTCTTATGACATGAGTTCTTTATGCTATTTTATCTATTTTTCAAAAATTCTATAAAAAAATAAATTTTACCTTAAATTTAATTTGGTCGAATTTTACTTTTGATAGTTGGTATCATTGGTTTGACAGTTAATGTCAAAATCGATTCGCCATGCCGTCCTTAATTTACTTATTTACAATAAGCGGCTGTAAGAAGAAAAAAAGGATTTTCTTTGGTGCTAAACAAAATTTATTGCCTCCTCTCGTAAGTAGGTAAATACTAGAAAAATCATAAAAATATTATAACCAATATGCAAAATAGTATACTGTTTAAAGTAGCCAACCTACTTGTAAATAATTTATATTTGTTATTTGTTATTTAAAAAAAATTAACTGCTACTAAAGTACCTGATATGAAATCCTGTATTCTTTTAAGGTTTAATAAATAAATAAAAAAAAATCAAAGTTTTTGGTGGGGTAAATAGCTCATAAGAGCACTCATTAGAGCGGTGTTACAATAAAGTCATGAACGCAAAATTATAAATATTATACTTTAATTAATTTTTATGCCATCATCATGATCCTCTTTGCTTGTTAATTTTTGAAAGAATATATAAAAAATAACACACGAGCAGAAGTGCTATTTCCCACAGATTATTTAATTCGTAAATAGGTTTAAAATTGATTATTTTGTTTATTTTTTATCTAAATGTCATGAGCAAGCTCGTGAGATACAAAATAAAAAAAATGGCGTATGAAAACAAATGTTAAATTTTAAAGACATTATGGATGTCCATATATATAGGTAGGTAAGTATACAAAGGCCCAATAATAACAGCGATAAAATTGTATAACAAGTTACCTAGTAATATTATAAAATTAAATAACTTTCGTAAATTTAAAAATGCTGTATCCTCGTATCTAAAAGAAAGAAGTTTTTATTCTATTGAAGAATATTTTGAACAATAACTACAATTTTATCCTGTTATGCTAATATATGTTTTTTTAACAATATGTAAATGTTTACAATTCTATATGTTTTTTATATTATATTTTAGACGTTTTCCTATACAATTTTGTGAATTGTCGTTTTTGGAAATAAATATTATTATTATTATTATTATTAGGTACAACCATAAGGATAGAAAATAGCTATAGTAAATTCCGTAAATGTATACACTGACTAGCTAATGCAAACAATAACTGATTTTGATAAGTAGTTAAAATTATTTAGAATAAGTTGCCTCCCGGCCCATTCGCCATTTTTGCAATAATTTGGAATATGGGTCATTTTCAAAATTCTTGTACATTTAAAGAAGGAAAAGTAAAAACAAAAACATAATCTACAAACCTGTTTTTTCCTAACATTGTTTATTTAGGGGTGTTATTTAACACCTAAAAGTGTCAGTTGGATTTTTTTAAATAAGCCCTTTATAAAGAAAAAAATGGTCCCCTATGGGAAAAATGCTTAATCATTTTGAAAATATATTTTTTGCTTGTTAATATTCCTTTCAAAGTTTTATTTACACTTAGATTTGTTTAAAAAAAGAACATAAATTTATTATTTATATAAAGTCGGAGACATATCCATTTTTAAAAGTAAGTTAAACATTAATTTGCAAAAAACAATTTGATAGCTTTTGAAAGCCGTATATGACATGTCATGATTCAACAAAACTGTCACTGTCATCCTCCAAAGCCTATGGATGGACCGCAGTGTTACCAGATTCTGTCAAAAAAAGACCGTACGTTTCGTTCGAATTTACCTTAATTACAAAAATGACTCAATGGACAATATTAAATAACGTCAACTTGACATAATTGCATTTATTTGCATTGTTTCATTGTGTCATTTTGTAATTAAGGTAAATTCGAACGAAACGTACGGTCCTTTTTTGACAGAATCTGGTAACACTGATGGACCGTAGCAACCTTATAAGGTGTGGAAAAAATGGATTTTTTTAAAAAACATTGCAATTTTCAATATAGTAACTATAGTTCTTTGTACAGAAAAAATATTGAAAATTGCAATGTTTTTTAAAAAAATCCATACTACAGTTCTTTGTACAGAAAAAATATTGAAAATTGCAATCTTTTTTAAAAAAATCCATATTTTCCACAAAAATAAATATATCGAGGTGAACCAAAAACAAAACTGTTAAGAATAGATGTAACTTTATAACTAAAACTTAATTTAAAACAATATACGGTTTAGCCACTCTACAGAGTGTCTTAAACTTATGATAAAAAACTTCTTTCTGTTTAAACCTGTATATTATAAACGTACATCTATTTTTTAGTAATTTTTTAAATCCGACATCAAATAAAAAAGTTATTTGCGATTGAAATTCATCAAAAATTTGTGTGGATCGATTATTTTGCCTGTGAGTGTATATAAAAAGGAGGATGTTATTTTACTCTAAGATGTTTAAATAGCATTAAGTAGTAAATATTATTGCGAGTGGGACAGCTACTAGTAGTTTATTTTTTTTATAGGGTTAAATTTAAAATTTATAATTTTGCTAAAAACACTTAAACCAATTGATTTTGCTCAGTAAAGTTCCAAATCGAGCTAAACTCAATTTTTTATAAAATAATAAAGTTGAGGGGCAGCAAATGTACAAAAATTTTAAAATTATTTTTTGTCAAAGGTTTCAATGCAAAAGTGACGGAGTATGCATAGACTCTGTACAGGAATGCAATGGAAAAGTTGACTGTGCTGATGGTAGTGACGAGACAGACCATTGCAAAGGCACATGGTAAGTCTAAAATAACAAAAAAATAATTCCAACGAGTGAGTTAAATTTGGCAATTGTAGGTGTCCAAAATATTTATATCGTTGCAACTATGGAGCCTGCATTTCCAAAGTTTCCGTATGCGATGGAAAACAGGACTGCAAAGATAACTCTGATGAAACCGGACCAAACTGCAGAGCTGCTCCAAAAAACGAAACTTGCGGGTAAAAAAGCACACTTAATTTTGCTTTAACTTTGACACATAACTTTGTATTGGTGAGTAATGTGGTTAACTTTTCATTTTAGTAACGATCAGTTTCACTGTACCTCAGGCGAGTGTATAGATCCCATATTTCAGTGCAATGGTAAAGCAGATTGTAGAGACAAATCTGATGAAACAGAAGACTGCAAGGACATTTGGTGTCCACATTTTGTCTATAGGTTTGAATTACACTAGTTTACAAAATCGAAAAAAAAATTCTGCCACCATATCCCATTATAATTTTCTCATGTATAGCTTGAAATCTAATTGATCGATATAGTATTTTGACGCTAGCGATTTTAATAACTTAAAAAAATCGTTTTTATGGCAAAAATTGAGGTCGAAAATTTACATATCGTCCTGGGAAGGGTTTAAATCAAACAGATAACTCCAGTTGGAATTTTTTTCGTGAAGCTGGCATTTTTACAAAATAATCAAGCTAATGTTGATAAAAATACATGGAAAAATGGCGAAGTTATGAATTTTTTAGTGGAAGACCAAAATTCAGCTTTTTTATTTAGTTAATAAAAAGTGTAAAATGAGTAAAAGAAGTAGAGAGTTCGAGTGCGTAAATAACCCGCACAATCTGGGCGACGCACTGTGGGCCCAATGCCCAAACTACGTTGCATTAATTCAATTTTTTTTCTATTTACTTAAAACTTTAAAAATAATTAAACTTTGAGACTAAGCAATGCTGGTAATTAATTATATAATTTATTTTTTCATTTTCCAGTGTTGCCACATTAGTATTTTTGGAAATTAATTTATAAAATACAGGGTTATCTTACACTAGTGTAACAAACCATACCAAAGTTATCTACGGATCAAAATAAGTCGATTTCACCCAAATTACCTATATACTAAGTTGCTTCGTTTAGTCGTTAGAGGTCTTTAAAGTTTTGAAAAATAACTATTTTTTTTAATATCTTAATAACGTATTAATGTATTTTTAATATTTTTGGAATATAAGTTTTAACTGCCAATTAACGTCGTTTGGTGCTACACTCAGTTATAATTAAAAATTAGAATAATCAGAAAAGCAAGGTTAGGTACTAATTTTCGCTTGTATTTTTTTTACTGTTGATATAATGGTTTACTAGGAAATAGAAAGCTTACTTTGTTTAAAAACTTTTTTGTCTCTTGTAAAAGTTCGATGAGCGGTTTAGTCAGAAAAAAATATTTTGTAATGTCTGCATACCTACTATCGATATATCGCGATAGTTACTATGTTTTATCCCGAAAATTGAACATTATAAATCTAGAGATTCCTTTTCTGAAAATAGGTCAATTTGACTCAACGCAGTTGCTTCGTTTAGCAGATAAAAAGTGAAATACAGAGTGTTGGTAATAGGTAAATGGTGTATAAAGAGGAAGGTTTTCACAAATTTTTTCAGTCACTTCCGGTTTCACCGGAAATGGGTCCAGGTTCAAAAAATTAAATAGAAACCCCTTTATATATTTACATTCTCGGATTCTTAACATAATTCTGGACTTAAATGTGATTTTTTAATGCCTTTTGAGCAATTTTTAACAATGCATCTAGGCCACCTTAATGTAATATTAAAAACGGATAAAAAGAAAAAGTAGGCGTAAACTGGCGTAAACACTTTTAACAAATATTAAACGCCATGTATATAATTTGCTCATTGTCCAAGCAATACATGCGATAAACAACTTAAGATTCATATTAATTGTTAATATTTTCTTTTCTCAGAGGTTTACATTTTTGGCTGGGATAAGTTTCGCGATTTTTTGCGATTTTTTTGGTTAACAGTTTTTAGTAGTCTACATATTTGTCTAATAAAAAATATATATTTTGGCTTGGCATTCGTTGGCCTTCCTATTTTTTTACTCTGCAAAACTATAAAATTAAATATTCATGTTAATTACCTTATCAGTTCTTGCCAAAAACAAAAAAAAACACGAATTTTCCATAATTTTATGTACCCAACACAACTAATTGACAGGTCTAATGTCAGTTATGAAATGTTTAAGGCGACTTTTGCTTTTCACGGCCCTCTAAGCTATAAAAAAAATCGCAAAAATCGTAGTTTTAATTAAAACGATTGCCTTAAAAATATACTTTCTTTTAAAGATCTGACATTGGGCATTTATAAAAAAGTCTTCGTAGAGTATTTTCAAAAAGCAATTATGTTTTTACAAGTTTGAATATGTTTTTAATAAAACAATAGTGGCAAATTATACATTTTCAATAATGACTTATTGCAACCTAGTTTGGGCATAGGGCCCACAGTGCGACGTAAGTGATGAGCACGGAGAACGTTTTCACCAGCAAATGAAGGCTAGGAGCGGCGGTATCACGGCTTCTGGGATGCAGCCATGATGGGTGATTACATTTGGTCCCTCATACGAGAAACGGAATACGAAAGCAACAAAAAACAAAGAAGGAGCCAGAGTTTTTTTAAACCTGTGATTATTAAAACAAAATAAAACTTTCAACTTCTTCAATGTTCAATATTTATTGTTCAATATTCAATATATAATTTAATTTCAATATTAATTGTTTAAAATAAAAATCAATGTTCAATATTAAATTTTATATAATTCAATAAAATAAAGAAAAAATGTAAAATTTCTCAAAAAACCGAATTTTGGTCTTCCACTGAAAAATAACTTCGCCATTTATCCATGGATTTTTATCAACTGCAGCTTATTTTTTTCCTTTAATTAAGTAAAATCTATACGTAAAATAAATCAAATTGGACTTATCTTTTCGATTTCTATATTTCCCAGAAAGATATGTAAATTTTCGACCTCGATTTTTGTAAAAAAAGGACTTTTTCAACTTCATAAAATCGCCAGCCTGATTTGATTCTAAGAATCTTCTAAGAAGATATGACTCGGAATAATGGAATATTCTTAGAACCTTCCCTTATTGCTAAGAATGTTCTTAGGGACTTTTAAAACATTCAATAGATACCCTTTTAATGATGCAATTAGATTATTAAAGCTTGAAGCTTCTTAAAACCTTCCTAAAAACAATCTAAGAACATTTTAAGAATACGTTTTTGGAATGTTCTTAGAAGGTTTCTTATGGAGCTTCTAGGAAGGTTTTGAGAATATTTCCAAATATGTCAGATACCCACGTTCTAATATGTTGGATTCTACATTCGTAAAATTCTTCAGGAGGCGACAAATACGCCTCACTGTCATAATATGACAGTGAAATGTTTTTGTCGTCCCCTTAAAAAAATTTGGGACATATTAATATATATTTATTTAAAAATATTAAATAAACAATTTGACCTCTGAACCATAAGTTGTATGACATTATTTCATAAAAAGTAAAATTGTAAAATTTTGTGGGACAAGTCAGATTAGATTGAAGTTGAAGATAGGATTATTATACATAAAAATGTTAATTCAGAAATAAAAAATCGGTATACAAATTAATAAATATTTATTTTTTACATAAAATAAAATATAAAAAAACAAAATATTTCCTTATAAAATAATTATTCATAAAAGAAAAATCCAAATAGTTCTTCATAAAAAAAAACATTTTTATTGTATTTAAGTTGGATAGAAGATTTTATGTAAAAGCCGGATAATTTAGATACTTATAGTAAAAGTATTTTTGTTATCGAATATTGTTTTAATTTGACAAATAACTATAAAAAAATATTTTGGGTTGTGTTTATTACTTAGTATTTAATACTAAGTATATGTACCTTTATACGTATATTATGGTATATTTTACTATTATATAGGTACCTAACTGAACTGAATATGCTTAACAGAATGTTCCAGGAATATTCCTAAATGAACTTTCTATAGCAATTACTTTCTCAACATTCTAAGCATATGTTTAGAGTGGATTAATTTTTACCACTAAACTTTGCACCTTCTAAGAACCTGCCTATAGGCCAGTGAGAATATTCTTAGGATTATGCTATATTTCTTTTAAGCATGTTTTTTAGAAGAAATATAGCATGATCCTAAGAATATTCTCACTGGAAGGTTTAAAAAACATTCTTAGAATAAACTGTGCTATCAGGGCAGTATCGAACTACTGAGTCGATACCAAAACAATACAAGAGAAAGTTGTAGAGGGCTCAATTACCTTTGATTTGAGTGCTTGTTTAGTCAAATTGATCAATTAGAACTCGAAATCTTAAACCAAAAACTCATAATTTATTAAAGGTGCGATTATGGTGCGTGCGTGAATGGAGACGCAGAATGCAATGGTAACGTTGATTGTCTGGATGGCTCGGACGAATCGGTATCGAAATGCGGAAAAACTCCAGCCCCTCCAGTGAAGATCACCACCACGGAAGGGCCACCAACGCCTCGACCTACACCACCACCAACACCTGCACCCATTCCAAAACCAGTCACAGATGTTGCTATTGGGTAATAAACAATCTTTGATTTAGAATTATAAATGAAAGTATACGCTCATATCACAGCAAACGAAAAAATATAGAAGTTTATTGGATGATGCCACGTTTGAATACAGTTTTCTAAACCCTCGCCACGGTATAGAGTTTTATTCGTCAGTCGAGCGTTTCAATACTCTCCACAGTATAGAGGTCGTAATTTGACTTTTCAACTAGTATTAATATGAAAATTATTTTATGCTTGAAAAAAAAACTATAGGTACACGACATGATTGTGATTTTTTTCATTTTATTAATTAATTAAGCTGTGTTGAATATTTTTACTAAAGGAATAATTGCCAATGGGCCATTAATTCATTTGTTCATAGATGCTACAATAACCTGCACTGGTGTGTACTTTTTGATCAACCAGATTTAAATATTGCTGAACTAACATATACCAGTGGAGATAGTGCAGGGTCGACCAACAGACCTCATTACTAAATTATTAAAGTTTAATAGCATATCGATCGTTTTTTCAACATAACCTCTGAAATTTTTAAAACAAATATATAATACATAAATATACTTTACATCATATCCTCTGTGCCTTACATACCTGACTTGTTACGGTAAACAAAAATCAGACAAAGTAACCAAAGAAAGAAACTGTTTTCAACAAAATCATATGCAGAAATGAGAATATTCAAAATACTTGCATCCATCAAAAGATCAAAACTTCTTGCAATATTGAATTACACCCTCTTTTTATGCTCTCAGAAATATCGACTAAAACAGTATTAGAGAGACTCCAGTTTCTATAACTTGGTAGAGTAAAGAGAAGTCGAAACCGTTGCGATATTGCATTGCGCTGTTTTTTATAATTCTCGGGGACATTAACGAAAATCATTGCCAGTAAAATTCGAAAATCTTGAGTTTCCATGCCTTTGAAGAGAATAGGAATCCGAAGTTGCTGCACCATTGGACTGAACCCTTTTTTAATAATTTCTAGAGACATAAATGACTGCACCATTCGACAGGGTCGAGTTTCTACATCTCTGTTGAATATAGAAAATCAAAATAATGTACCTTGTAAGACACCATTGAGTTTGACTTTAACTATAGTCGTGCATAGGTATAGAGGCGAAAAATAAAAAAACAAAGAACGATTCAATACAGTTCTGATAAAACTCTAAGATTAAGTATTCAAACGGGTCATCCTATACACTTCCATATTTTTCCGTTTGCTGTGTATATAAAGCTGTTAATTTTTTTTCTAGCGGTTCTTGCGTTCTACCGGATTATCCTGACAATGGCCGGTGGCAGTTGTTGCAAGGTAAAAAATATCCGGGACAGAGCGTGGAGCCTGGGACTGTAATAGTAGCGAAATGTGACTCAGGCTACACTTTAGAAAGCGACAGCAGCTACTCAATTTGCGTGGGTGGAGGAGTATGGAATTTGGCGTTCAATTGCAAACGTAAGTAAAAGTTGATGAAACGATGCATTTCATAAAAAAAAATAATAATTTATACATGCCGTTGTTTTAAAGATTTTAGTTTTTTTCTTATAAATATATAAAAACCCTGATAGCAAAATTTGATTCTAAGAACCTTCTAAGAAGATATGACCCGGAATAATGGAATATTCTTAGAACCTTCCCTTATTGCTAAGAATGTTCTTGGGGACTTTTAAAACATTCAATAGATACCCTTTTAATTAGATTCTTAGAAGCTTCTTAAAACCTTCCTAAAAAGCTTTCTAAGAACTTTTTAAGAATACGTTTTTGGAATGTTCTTAGAAGGTTTCTTATGGAGCTTCTAGAAAGCTTTTGAGAATATTTCCAAATATGTCAGATACCCACGTTCTAATATGTTGGATTCTACATTCGTAAAATTCTTCAGGAGGCGACAAATACGCCTCACTGTTATAATATGACAGTGATATGTATTTGTCGTTTGCGACATATTAATATATTTTTATTTATAAATATTAAATAAACAATTTGACCTCTAAACCATAAGTTGTATGACATTATTTCATAAAAAGTAAAATTGGAAAATTTTGTGGGATAAGTCAGATTAGATTGAAGTTGAAGATAGTTAGGATTATTATACATAAAAATGTTAATTCGGAAATAAAAATTCGGTATACAAATTAATAAATATTTATTTTTAACATAAAATAAAATATAAAAAAACAAAATATTTCCTTATAAAATAATTCTTCATAAAAGAAAAAACCAAATAGTTCTTCATTAAGTTGGATAGAAGATTTTATGTAAAAGCCGGATAATTTAGATACCTATAGTAAAAGTATTTTTGTTATCGAATATTGTTTTAATTTGACAAATAACTATAAAAAAATATTTTGTGTTGTGTTTAATACTAAGTATAGGTACCTTTATACGTAGATAATGGTATATTTTACTATTATATAGGTACCTAACTGAACTGAATATGCTTAAAAGAATGTTCCAGGAATATTCCTAAATGAACTTTCTATAGCAATTACTTTCTCAACATTCTAAGCATATGTTTAGAGTGGATTAATTTTTATCACTAAACTTTGCACCTTTTAAGAACCTGCCTATAGGCAGTGAGAATATTCTTAGGATTATGCTATATTTCTTTTAAGCATGGTCTTTAGAAGAAATATAGCATGATCCTAAGAATACTCCCACTGGAAGGTTTAAAAAACATTCTTAGAATAAACTATTTATAGAACTCTTGTTTTTACAGTACTAATGTTAATTGCCCAATAACTATTAAGTGCCGATAATTGTCTTCTTTACCCCGAGTTTATAATTTCAGTTCAATGTCCGGCTTACACCTCCACTAACACCACCTTCATCACTTGCACTCTAAACAACGAATACAGGGACTGCGCAAGAGCAGTGGACGGCACCTATATGGAAATTAATTGTGCTCCGTTCTTTGAAAATCTCAGTTCTGGCAAATACAGATATTGCAAGGATGGAACCTGGGACAACGCAAAGCCTCAATGCTCCCCAGGTCAGCCAGTTGTACTTAATCTAACCCTCAATTTAAACCTACACATTCATGTTTCCCCCTCAAAGCTGACTCAGGTATTGAATAATACGAATAAAACCTTGAACGTTTTCAGTGTCATAGATAAGGACGCTATAGTGTTTCCGGATGATTAAAATTTAATATTAATGCGACAAAAATTACTTTAAATGATACCCACACAGCAAAAATATAGAAGTGTACAGGATGACCCGTTTGAATACTACATCTTAAAGTTTTATCAGAACTGTATTGAATCGCGCTTTGTTTTAATATTTTTCGCCTCTATACCTATGCACGACTATAGTAAAGTCAAACTCAATGGTGTCTTACAAGATACATTATTTTGATTTTCTATATTCAACAGAGATGTTGAAACCCGATCCTGTCGAATTGCTTAGTCATTTATTTCTCTGGAAATTATTGAAAAAGGGGGCAGTCCAATGGTGCAGCAACTTCGGATTCTTATTCTCTTCAAAGACATAGGAACTCGAGCTTTTCGAATTTTACTGGCAATGATTTTCGTTAATGTCCCCGAGAATTATAAAAAACAGCGCAATGCAATATCGCAACGGTTTCGACTTCTCTTTACTCTCCCTATTAAAAATGCCATATAGAAACACAAAATAAAAGTCTATCTGGTTCAATATAGGAATTTGAAACAGGCATTGCACTATTGAACCAGATAGAATTCCATACCTGGAAAACCATATAGAAAAGTGATTTGTATATGGATATAGGTTCATATTGCTCTATCTGGCCCAATATGGTTTGGGTGTGAAAAAAATATTACCATATAGATTCATATTTAACCATATAGGGGAATCTATATGGTTTAATATGCAATTTTCGTTTAAATATATATACATTTTAAAATGGAATTATTCCATATTCAACCATATAGGAAAACCTATATGGAAAGACACATAAAACAGAAACCAGATAAATCCATATAAAAATCCCTAAGTTGTACATTTTAAAATGAAATTCCATATTAAACCCTATAGATTCCAAAGTGTAAACCAGGTCGTTCCATATAGGACATATAGAACCATATAAATCCATATTAGTTTCCTTATCTGGACCAATATGGGTTCTATAGGGCATTTTTAATAGGGCTACCAAGTTATAGAAACTGGAGTCTCTCTAATACTGTTCCAGTCAATATTTCTGAGAGCATAAAAAGAGGGTGTAATTCAATATTGCAAGAAGTTTTGATATTTTGATGGATGCAAGTATTTCGAATATCCTCATTTCTGCATATGATTTTGTTGAAAACAGTTCCTTCCTTTGGTTCCTTGTCTGATTTTTATTTACCGTAACAACTCAGTTATGTAAAGCACAGAGGATACGATGTAAAGTATATTTACGTATTATATAAAGTATCTATATTTGTATTAAAAATTTCAGAGGTTATGTTAAAAAAACGATCGATATGCTATTAAACTTTATTAATTTAGTAATGAGGTCTGTTGGTAGACCCTGCACTATCTCCACTGGTATAGTTAGTACAGCAATATTTAAATCTGGTTGATCAAAAAGCACACCAGTGCAAGTTATTGTAGCATCTACGAACAAATGAATTAATGGCCCATTGGCAATTATTCCTTTAGGAAAAATATTCAACACAGCTTAATTAATTAATAAAATGAAAAAAATCACAATCATGTCGTATATAGTATTTTTTTCAAGCATAAAATAATTTTCATATTAATACTAGTTCAAAAGTCAAATTACGACCTCTATACTGTGGAGAGTATTGAAACGCTCGACTGACGAATACAACTATACCTTGGCGAGGGTTTAGAAAACTGTATTCAAACGTGACGTCATCCAATACACTTCTATATTTTTCCTAGAGATATTTTTAATTCATTTTATAATTTATTTAAAATGTTGTCGCTTAGTTATGCCAAAGAAATTCAGTATTTTTGATAATATATTATAATTAGATTAATAAAATAATTATTTTCTTTTCTTACACAATATTTTTCATAGTAATATATCCCTTTATCAGTTCCTGACCTGGGTATTTATAGTAATAGTAATTTATTAGTATTTGTAGGTGTTAAAAAATTTAATAAAATTAAATATTTACCGATGTTGTAATATTGTTTACCCCAAAATTACATGCAATAGAATTTTATTTCAGAAATATGTTCGATAAGGTAAATGCAAGAAGACTAAATAAAGTAGGAGTAACGATCTTGACCACAATTACCTTTTAAGGCATAATATGTTACTCGAAATGCTGTACGTTTTTTGGTGTGCCCCCACCTTGCAAGTTACTCCTTCTATATTTAGTCTTCTTGGGTAAATAAAATGGATTTATAAAATATGTTCTTAACAAACCTAATCATTTTTTGAAGTTTTAATATTTTAAAGTATCAAAGATTGTAAAGATTAATTAAAATAGTAACGGGCAACGTTAATGGTGAAAATTACGTCAAAAATGTTTATTGAGATGGTTACTTTATTTTCGTATAGATGTCGCTTTATAAAAATATTTAATTTAAATAATTTTTTAGATAATTTAGAGGTGTAATACTTATTTAAAAAATCTAATAAAATTAACATAAAATTGACATGAAAAAAGTATTGCTATTCAAATTTTTATAACATCTAAAAAAATAATAAATTCAAAATAAAATTGAATTGTTTTTTTTGCATGGCGTAAATAACAATAAAATAGATATTGAATTCTTGCTGAATGTTTTTTTAGCTTGTGGAATGAAGAGAGTTCGTACAGCTGCGCTTTCAGTTGGGGGTGTTCCAGTGGAAAAAGGAGATTATCCATGGCAAGTGGCCATTTTCAAGAAGATTGGAGATGAGTTTTCTCCCATATGCGGAGGATCTATGCTCAATACGAAAATTATTTTAACAGGTAGGTGTCCCAAGGCAATAATAATAATAATAATGATAAAAATAATAATAATATTATTATTATTATATATTATTATCATCATTATCATATGATAATGATGATAATAATAATAAAATAATAATGGTACCCATAAACTTTTTTTTAGCTGCTCATTGTATGGTGGATGAAAATAAGGACGGGACCATTTCTATCACGCCTGGAAACTTTGAGGTGGCAGTTGGTAAATTTTACAGACAGTACCGGCATCCAGAAGACAAAGATGCTCAATATTCACCGGTAAATACTTTCAATAATAAAAAGCAGAGTGTTAGTATGGCTATGCTTTTAATGCTTTAAATTTTAAACATTTTTAAAATTTTGAATTTTTTTTAATATTTTTAAAAATTATGAAAATTTTTCTAAACCACATAGTTATTGGACACTTAAGGAATATTATTTATTTAAAGTTTATATATGTCGTTGTTATAATAAGAATATTTGAATTTTTAATAATAGTTTTATAAAAACAAGCAAAAAAGTATAGTAATTGGACATTTTATATAGTAATTGGACACATGGGCCATAGTTATTGGACATACAATTTTTATATAAACATAACAACTTTACATCAAATAACATAATTTGTTGAATATTTTTTAAAGATAAATTGCTGTTTTAGGTAATTTTTTTATTTCGTTTTTGTAAATATCATATAATTCATATATTTCTTTCTTGGATTCCTCATCCCTTTTCTGGTTTCTGAAGGTAACTACTAATTCCTGGGTCTGACTTCTGAAATAGTTTGTTGCAAATATCATTAGGTGTGGAATCTCTAGTTTCTGAAGCATTTATAATGTTTAGGCCGGAACAGGATGATTTATATATATATCTAATATTTTTTCGGGTGGTATGTTAAAAGAATTAATTAATTTTGTTGCCATTAGTTTTTATGTTCTCTATCATTCACTGTATTTAAATCACTGTTATTCTGAAAGATGTCCTGGGACGAAGAAATTACTATATTACTTACTCTCTAAAAATGAATTAGTCAAAAATGTCATAGCGAAAAAGCAGCCACTAATAATTCTCGTCAACAGTAATTTGTATCCAGGACATTTAGCAGTCAATTCCTATGAAATATCATACGCTGAATCCGAAAATGTCGTCAAAAGTTATAAAAGTAGAACAGTTTTTGAAATATAATCAAATTTTACATGTAATATGGAATTGACTATATCTCAAAAACCGCTCAACTTTTATAGTTTTTGACGGTCTTTTCGGATTCAGGGGACAATTTTACATAAGAATTGGCTGGTGAATGTCCGGGATACAAATAAAGTATGATATTGGACATATGTCCAATAATAGAAATTTACATTTTTTACCAAGTAATTGGACACTGGCCATTTTACTGTTTGTTTTCATAATTAAAATTAAAACGCATTAAAGTGACAATTTTTAAACCATGAGGAACACATTTATACCACTCACTGATCTGTACATTTTTTAGAAATATTTTTTATTGTAATTTAAACGCAGGCCTGCTCTTAACCAAAAAACAAAAATCTTACCACCAAAGTAACGTATAAAATAAATTCCATCGTAATTTCTGCATTAACCAGCACAGCTTTAATACTAGTTTATAAAAAACTAATTAATGGTTATTTATCCAAACATGTAGGTGAAGGAAATATTACCTTCGGGAGACTACAGAGGATCTTTTGGAAGCTACACGTCCGATATCGCGCTATTGGTCGTAAAAATCGAGTTCAAACCCTCAAAAATGGTGCAGCCAGTGTGCAGAGATAATTCTAATATTATTCATTTGACAGCTGGACAATTGGGTGTTGTAAGTATACTGTATACAGGGTGTTATGTAATTAATGTAATATATTAAAATACTGAATACCTTTTGACATAAGGTGTAACGGAAAAATATTTAAAAAAATATTTTCCCAAAGATAAAGAAAAATTTTTTTAATATGCATTAGAAGTTTTTATATTTTTTGTGATACGCCACTGGTTACACACTTGTGTTCTGTGAGTACATAGTTACCAACCAACAAAGTAGCTGCGCATTGCCAGTTGCAAAAAAATGCCCTTAAAGCTCTAATACCCTTCTGTATTTATTTACTCATCCAGCTATTAGCTTAAGCAATGATTAGAAAATTTAGTACCTATTTTAAAAAATCCATAACCACAAAATTATTTTTTTCATCGGTTTTTTTCTTTCTGTTTATTCATTTGAAATTAGGACAAGTTCACAGGTTAAACTTTAAACATTCAATTTGTTTAAATAAATCCAAAAGCACTTCCCTTAGTTAAGATATTTACAATTTGAGCCAATAACCTAAAATTTGAAAGGAATGCACTAGATTCTGTCAAAAAAGTTGCCAGATTTTGTTTGAACCCAGAAAACACACTAGTCCGGCCATGCAAGGGCACATAAATGGGCCATTGCATTATGTAATGGCCCAGTAATGCGCCGTTGCATGGCCGGAATAGTGTGCTTGCTGGGAATTTACCTTCATTACAAAAATGACATAATTAACAATTCATAAAGACGCCAAATTAAAAATTTGCATTGTTGATTTTGTCATTTTTGTAATTCAGCTAAATTTAAACAAAATCTGTCAACTTTTTTGACAGAATCTGGAAACGCTGGTTGTTACCAACCATATCAAGTTCCTAAGTCGTTTTTTCGCGTAAATACCATGAAATACTATGGTCATTAAACTTAACCTTGGTTAATAGTTAAGGCATTTTTGCGTTTAGAGTGCGTTCAAAAATCCTAACTATGACGTCACAAATACCAGACCATAAAACTATATCGCTGAGCTAGTTATTCAACGTGGTTAATAGTCTTTCTCTTTTTAATATATATATTTAATATGTTTATGTAGGAATAATGTTGTGTGCTAAACATATCTTCTCCAAAACATACCGCCAACCTTCGTCTTTTTCTTTGGGGTTCCATTCTAAATTTTGAGTTTCACAATAATAATTTTCGTATAAACGTTAAACACTGTTGGATTTTAGTTATGGTAAAAAACAGTGAAGAACTCTTTATATATAAAAAGAGGTATAGAAAAGGTAGGTATAAGAACTAGGGTTCATAGAAAAAGAATATACAAGGTAAAAGAAGAGGCAAAGAAATTTATTTACTCCGGTAAAAGCATAGAAATTAAATATAAATAGGTAAAAACACATTTCAAAAATTATAGGTTATGAACAAGTAAACAAATGTCAAATGTTAGAAACCTAACCATGGTTATATGAATTAACTGTGACGTCATGACTTATTTAACCGTAGTATTTCATAGTATTTACGCGAAAAAAACGACTCTAGTCGATCAGTGGCGTACTGTTTGGTAGTATAAAGGTTATTATAAATTATTTTTAGTCTTTAGAATTTAGAAAAAAAAGTTTCAGGTGCTCTTTTTTGGACTTTAAGAAACTACCCATTTTAATATATTACAAAACAAAATATTTTTTTAGGTCACCGGTTGGGGTTACACAAAACATGGCGGCGAAGCTTCCAATGAACTTAGAGAGTTGGTGGTACCATTTGAAGAGGACTCAATTTGTAGGTCAAAATTGCCGCTTGAATATGTTCATAGATATTATTCAAATGACAAGCTTTGTGCAGGCTTCCACAACAACAGTAAGGAATTATGAATTTTTAATAATAATAATTATAAAATATTTTTTCTACTCCCACCTTTAAAACACCCAATAGACTAGTTTACAAAATCGAAAAAAAATTCTGCCCACCATATCCCATTATAATTTTCCCATGTATAGCTTGAAATCTAATTGATCGATTGGGTCAAACAAGCCCTTAAATTGAAGGTATTTGAGCCCTCTAAAAATTTCTTTTACATACTTTTGATATCGGATAAGTATTTTGACGCTAGCGATTTTAATAACTTTAATAAAATTCGTTTTTATGGCAAAAATTGAGGTCGAAAATTTACATATCGTCCTGGGAAAGGTTTAAATCAAACAGATAACTCCAGTTTGAATTTTTTCTCGTCAAGCTGATATTTTTACTAAAAGAACAAGCTAATGTTGATAAAAATACAAGGAAAAATGGCGAAGTTATGAATTTTTTAGTGGAAGACCAAAATTCAGCTTTTTGACGATTTTTATTTTATTTTTTTCTTCTATTTTGTAATATGTTTATTCTTTCATGAAAATCTAAATAAAGTGCATGATTGTAATTTTTTGAGTTTTTTACGTAGTTCTTTCACCGAAAACTTTATTCAAAATTTAAACTTGTCATGACTCCGCAAACGTGAATTCTTTTGTTTCTCGTGTTGGCATAGTGACATTTTACTGATATTTTTTGATATTTCAACAAGGTATTTTCCACAGACCACCAAACCTGTATGTGCCTTACAAAGGTGACATTTTCTACCTAAAAATAATAGTTTTTATTGGCATATTATACATCATTCGAAAGGTAATACATTAAGAAAGTTTTTTAAACAATTTGCACGCAAAGTGTATAGTGAAATTAAAAAAAAAATCCTGATGAACTTAACAAGTCTTCCAAATTCGCGAATAAAATTTTATTTTATACTGTTGTTCTGAAGTTTCATATGGTTTTTTTGGAAAAACTATTACTATGTGGCATGTACCAATATATGGGCTAACTACTAAAAAAATAATCGTTTAATTAACTTTAATTCTTATCGAGAAATTTTAAAAAATGTAATCCTGGACACGATTTTTTACCAAAATCACAAAAAATCAAATAACTCCAAAACTAATAACTTTTGGATAAGGCAATATGGGGTTCAAACCTCCTTAAATTAATGCACCTACTTCTGACTCACCGTGTATATCAAATGATGTGAACAGTATTAAAAAGTTTTCTTTAAGTCTCCCTAATAATATAGGTACTCTAATTTTATAAAAATCGGTGTACAAATGTGTACTCTGTCAAAGAGTTTGAAATAAACAAAAATTTAAAAAAAAATCATGAATTTTGAAAAAATTTCGCAGCTAGGATTTTGGTAAATATCATTTTTAAGTCACCAAAGGGTTCCGAACAAGGAACTGCAATCAGTTTTTGGCGGCATTTTTATGTGACTTAAACTTCGTTCAGGCACACCGTGTTAAAAAAAACAATTTTCTTGACTACCTTTAACATTTTTTCAGGCAAGTCTGTGTGTGAAGGTGATAGTGGTGGAGGATTGGTTTTCGAGCAAAACCAAAGATACTACATAAGAGGAATTGTGAGCATATCGCCTAGACAGGATGGTAGTTGCGATATACAACAGTATACCCTGTATACAAACGTCAATAAATTCAATTCTTTCATCGATAAGACTATTGTAAAATACTCGTAATAATTATTGAAATAAAACTGCATTTGAATTGGTGTTTATATATTTTTTAAGAGTATATACGTATAATATAGTCTTTTTTCCTACAGTAGAGAAATACATAGCTTGTAAATAAACCTAATTTTTTTAAACGACATATGATTGTATATGTTTTTCAACTTACAGTATCACAGAAACATTTATATTTACAAAAGATCATGTGCACAGAACACAAAAAACATATGGAAAACAATGATGCCGAATTAATTTAATATAATTTCAGTCTCCTTTTATCTACGTAATGCAAAGTGTATTTAAAATAGTTGATTGGTAAATTTATAGGGGAATTTTGTACTTAATTACCATTTTAAATTTGCCTACAGTATATCCTTATTTTATTACTCAACTTCCCATTAATTGTTTTCATAATCGTTTTCCAAATATTTTTATTATTTATATATTTCTGCTTTATATACATACTATATATCACACTATATATACATTTGTGTATGGTGTTAAATTATACATTTTTTATCAGGTCACAATGAAGAAATAGGTATAACGGCCATTTCAAGCGGATGGACGGGACATATCACAAAACTGCTTTTATAAAAAAATTTGTAGGTAATTTATTATATATTATTTTTGCATCAAAATTGTCAAATATATTCTTCTATTATTAGACTATACATTAAATAAAAAAAATCGCAAAAAATATTTTATAAAAGTAGAGATAATTTCAATAATTGACAGGGGATGGACGGGACAAAATAAATCTTTTTTTGTCCCGTCCACACCTTTCAATTATTAAAATTATATCTACTTTTATAAAATATTTCTTGCGTTTTTTTTTTATTTAATGTATAACCTAATAAAAGAAGAATATTTTTGACAATTTTGATGCCAAAATATTATATATAATATTTTGGCATCAAAATTGTCAAAAATATTCTTCTTTTATTAGGTTATACATTAAATAAAAAAAAAACGCAAGAAATATTTTATAAAAGTAGATATAATTTTAATAATTGAAAGGTGTGGACGGGACAAAAAAAGATTTATCTTGTCCCGTCCATCCCCTGTCAATTATTGAAATTATCTCTACTTTTATAAAATATTTTTTGCGATTTTTTTTATTTAATGTATAGTCTAATAATAGAAGAATATATTTGACAATTTTGATGCAAAAATAATATATAATAAATTACCTACAAATTTTTTTATAAAAGCAGTTTTGTGATATGTATAATAAATAATCTACAATTTTTTTTATAAAAACAGTTTTGTAATTCGTGCGTTTCGCGCGCTTGAAATGGCCGATAAGGCAAAAATATAAATAATTTTTGTTAACAAAATTAAAACTCTATTTATGACGAATTTAAATAAATAATTGCGTTAAATTTTTTTAAATATATCTGTATATGCAGAAAGGTTAGTTAAGATTTGTCGGGACAATAATTTGACTTCGTGGTTTATTTGACATTTTATCTGACAACTGTCAAGTGGTTTTAACCTCACTTATCAGAAATTTGACATCTGTCAAATATGTCAAATATCTCAGGATGCATTTTACGAAAAAATGTTTGAAATAAAAATTAAATGATTGGAGGGGGGAAATCAATCAGTACTAAAATTGGTCCTCAAGTGAGGTTAAAACCACTTGACAGATAAAATTTCAAATATAATATGATTTTTTTTACAGACATGGCCTTGAGTTCTCAAAATCGAACATCGCTATTGGTATCATTTAATTCTTATTTTAAACATTTTTTCGTAAAATGCCTCACCCTGTATATTGTGCCAATAAATTAAAACAATCCTGCCTGCATATGTAGTGCATATAACACTAACACCAAATTTAATTGTTAGCGTAATATTTTTGAAAAAAACTTTTTAATCAAAAACAGTTTTTTATTTTGGATGTAAAATATAAGAAATCACAGTTGGCAATCTTGCTTTTTCACAAAGTTGCTTTCTTTATAATGGAATAAAAAGCTACATCAACATTAAGAAAGCTACAGTGCGATAGGAAAGTATCTATTAATCTACCTGTCCACACTTACAATGTTAAATTTTTATTTTTAGTTCGTAAGTATTTCTCATAAAAAAATATTAAATATTTACTATAGATTCGTTGACTAGTTTAATATTGCTATTTAAACAATGTAACTCTCAACCCTTAGAAATCTGTGTTATGTAAAAATATAGGTAGATTTATAAATTTTTACTAACGAAAATAGTTCACCACTCAAAAGTTTTACGATTTATTTACGTTTTAAATCATTCCATATGGTTTTAGATTTTTATGAATTTTTTTTTGGATTTTATAATTTTATATCGTTTATTGTTGATAATTATTAATACAGATTAATAAAAAAATGAGGATGATCTTTTTAATTTTTTGTTTTTTTTACTTTCGCCTTTATTTTTTTAGAAAAGAAGTTGTAGCTCAACAATAAACGATATAAAATTATAAAATCCAAAAAAAATTCATAAAAATAATTATGTGTATCTCTTTTTGTTCTGTTTATATGAAGCCATTTTAACTAAATATTTCTTAGACCAAAATAAGTTGATTTAAAACTCACCTTAGTACAAAGTTGCTTAGTTTGGACGATATATGTTTTTTTATTACATCTGATAGTAGATATCATGGTTAGAGATGTAAAAAAACCGTTTTTTTTTTTCAGATGTGAAAAAGAACATGAAAAAAAACCTAGAAAAAAAGGGTTTTTTTTTGTTTTTTTTTCAAAATGAAATTTTGAGTAAAATATATATTAACAATAAAGTGAAATGTAGAATATATTAAATTTTTCATCATTGAAAATTTTGACCGAGACTAAAAAATCTGATTTCTTATTATTTGGTAGTTTCCACATTAGAAACCAGTAGCAATGTAACTGTAAAAATTGTTTTGCGATTCTTCGGATAGCTGTATCTTTGTTAAAAATGGTCGTATTGGAGCCGTAAAAAAAGCAATTTGAAGCTTGAAGTTTCTAGTTTTGAGATTTTTAGATGAAAAATGTGCAACGCTCAATCCTAACAAATACCTTAATAAAAAATCGATTTTTTTTGGCTTTCTGGTCCACGGAATGTTCTGACTTTACCACCAATGAATAAATGTTCTACAAGAATTTGCTATGGTTTTTTTGAAAAAAAAAAAAATTCCATACTCTACATGAATTTTAAAAATCATGAAAAAAGTGCTTTTGGTAGCTATTTGAAAAATCAAGCGCTGAATCAAAAATATTATATGTAGTTACTTTTTTTAGGACCAAATCAAAACAAGCGCGGCCCTTATTGGTCAATTCGGTGGTGGTGGCGCGTGCATAGCGCGAGACTGTATTTACATTTACTAATTGTCATTTAGTGGCTAATTTTAGTCCATGAAACCTAAAAAATTAGGCAAATGGGACTAGTCTTGAAAAAAAAACCTAAAATGTGAAAAAAAACCATTTGAAAAAAAACAATGTAAAAAAACCTGAAAAAAAAAACAAAAAAACGGACCGTTTTTTTTCAAGTCGCATCTCCAATCATGGTACAAGTAAACCATGGCACCAACCAAAAGTGTAAGATACAGTAAATAAAAAAATAGTAAAAATTTTGGTCGTGCAACTATTTTTGTATTATACTTTCAAATGGTGTGCCAGTTGTGTAGAATCTGGCCCAGCTTGTTGGTTGAATGATGAGTTAAATTATAAAAAATGGTCTCCCCCCCGGCCAGAAGGGCCCCCCATTCGCCGAACGTACCATAATCGATGATGGAGTGATTGCAGGCCCCCAAGACCGCCAGATCCAAAGCCGGGCTGTTTTTGTGGTGCTGGTTTGTGATGTACAAGTTCTTTTTCCACGCGAAATTTTTCGCACACCACGTAGGATCGTCGCTGACCATTACGAACATGACGTAGATGTATTTTTCTTCGAAATAGTTCATTGCCAGTCGGTAGAAGCTCGCGTTTGCTGCGTCCACCGAATGCTTTCTTCTTAGATACCTTAAAAAATAAGCATAATTAAAATGGGGAACATACGAGGTGTGTTCAGAAAATAACGGGAATTGTTAAATTTCGCTGGTTCGAAGGGTCCGGTTGTCATAAAATTTTCTTTATTATGTTGGTATACATGCCCCCGAAGTATGATAAAAACTTTAGCTGTTTTCATTGTTTACTTTGTCTGTGGCAGCCGCTAAGGTTAGACGTGTTTTATGAGCTCGGCGATTTTTCGTTCGTTAAAAGAAATGGATCAAAGAAATTTTATCCAATTTTGCTTAAAAAAATGAAATAAATTCTGAAAAGTTAACAAAGGCCTATATTGAGTCTGCTATAAGTAAAACAAGAGTTTACAAGTGGTATAAGAGTTTCCAAGATGGCCGTGAAGACGTTGAAGATGACGAACGCCCCGAACGCACAAGCACATTAAAAACCGATAAAAACATGGAAAAAAATGGAAGAAATGGTTATAAACCATCAGAGAAGTCGCTGATGATGTTGGTATATCGATTGGCTCATCCCATTAAATTTTTTCGAATGTTTTGGGTATAAAACGCGTGGCAGCAAAATTTGTTCTAAAATTGTTAAATTTTGAACAAAATTTTTGGCCAAAAACAATACTGTAATGATGCCCCAGCTTCCATATTCGCCAGACATGCCTCTGTCTGACTTTTTCCTATTTCCAAAAATAAAGAGAACCTTAAAGGCCGTCGTTTTGCAAGCATAGATGACATTAAAAGCGCATCGCTGAAAGAACTAAAGGCTATCCCAAAGATCGAGTTTTAGAAGTGTTTCGAGTATTGGAAGAAGAGCTGGCACATGTGCATAATATCCAATGGGGACTATTTTGAAGGCGACAACATTGATGTAGACGAATAAATAAATATTTGTTTCAAAAAACGAAAATTCCCGATATTTTCTGAACACACCTCGTAGTATGGTTTTGGTATTTACCCGATATAGTCCGTTCTGCGAACATGCACCCCCACAAAGACATGCTCCCTAGTGGAGTTCTTGGCGGCTTGCATGAGGATCTGCTGGCTTTTGTCTGAAAATTTCTTCTTGAACGAAAATTCCTGAATGATGTCTTGGACCCACGTTAAGACCAGCTCTGGCTGAATGGAATATCGAGGTAGGATGATGCTTTGGTTGGTCGAGTTCCAGGCTTCCGACGACCTAAAAGTGCTATCCAGAATTAAAATCTTTCTTTCAAGAGTTTAATCGATAGTACTTTACCTGACGAATTTGCTCAGTGGTACTGTGCAATGCGAGATTTCTTCGAAGGTGGGCACCGAAAGCGATTCGAATATTTGGTCGAGTTTCGCCCGGATGCAGCGCGGGACGTACGGCTCCAGTCCGGTCCTGCGCGCCAGGGCCCACACTGATGCGTATTCCCACATTTGATTGCCTGAAAAATGTACAGGCACTGATAATGAAACCAATTTTGTAAGCGATTAATAAAATAATATTATTTAACTTAAATTTAAAATTGTAATGGCGTGGCGTGGTGTCTTATTGGGACAAAAACCTACGATTTGTCAAAGTAATGAGATTTTTTTATTTACAGAATAAACTTTTTTTACTGTTAATAAAATTCTCATTTACTATAATGAAGCAGCAATGTTGAGCTTCTATAAAAAAATGTTCAACCAACAAAGTAATAGTTGTTATCATATATTTGTCTTTTTTAAATTACTATCGTTGTAATTCAAATTAATTGTATTTCAGTTAGGAAATCTTTGTAATAGCTTACGTTAAGAACAATTACAAACATATTTCCCTTAAAAAGAGGGGGGAAAAGCCAGCGATATGAACATAACTTTATAATCCACACTCTGTGTTATAATCTTATTGATTTCACTTGTGCGAGTGAAGTGTGGTTAAATCTAGCATGATAAAAATATCAAAAAGATCATTAAGAAAATTAAAATTTCGTCGTTTTCTAAAAAAAATATTTAAGGTCTATGCCATAAACAAAGCAGACTTGTTGTTTAAAAAGTGAGTTCATATTTTTTTATTTTGTACATCATATATCTAATATGAGTAATTTGTTTGTTATAATAAATAATTTGTTTTAATGCCTTGCATTTATTTAAAAAAACTACCCAACACCCAACAGTAGGTTAAAAATGTGACCATTGTTACAATGAAAATAGTTTATTAAATTAACAATTAATTTGTTGTTAAATTTACATAAATTTTATTAATATTATAAAAAAAGTTTTATTTTAAACGAAAAGGGATTTGTAAAATTTACAAAATTTCTATGAATAATACCATTAGGTTTCATTAATACTACAAAACGTTTTTGTAAACGGTCTAGAACTGTTTTTTTGGACAAATAATAACTATATATAAATATATTTATCAATGCGTTTCTGCATCTGGAAGAGTGTTATTTTTATCAACATAACGTAAATTTACTCAATAATTAATGCAAATGCTATTACTGAAAGCAGCGTTTGTGGATAAATAATTTTTATAAAAATTATATTTTGCTGTAACAAAAGCAATTGTTGGACGAATAGAGATCTTTACTTTATTAAGACAAACTACTTTTTTTGTTATATTTATTAAAAAATGAGTGTACTGTTTTTTCCAATGGATATCACTGACCCATCCTATATATGATAGTTACGTGCCCCTGTATATTAGGGCACATATGCATTTATCGTCTGTGCAGCAGCCTAGAAAAAGCTGACTAAGAATATTAGGTTATATATACCACTTCAATCTAATTGTGAACTTAGTTTAGCGTAATAAACACTGTTGTCTAGTTCGAGTAAATTTGTGTGTTACTACCTACCATCATCCCTTGTAACTAAAATAAACTTTTTAAAAACGTTTTATTACAAACGAAAAACGTAATTGGCGCAGTCGTAACGGATTTTTTCGGAGTTAATTTTGTGAAAAATAACGTTCGTTCCAACGATTTACCGGAAAAAAAGGACATACAAGTTACGCGCTTCGAAGAAGACACCTTCGAGGAAGAGCAAGACAACACCAGCAATCCTGAGGGCAACCTTGCAGACAACGCCGGATTTCAATAAATCTGTGGACCTGGAATTACTACGTAAACTCAAGAGCTTTTTGGTCGATACCATCAATGCTGCGACGCCGGATCATCCCTATGTTCCTGAACGTCATAATTTCGTAAGTTATCAAAGATTTTAATAATATTTTATAATTATTTTATCGCGAAACTAAAAGTTATTCGCATAAGTTAATAGGAATATCCTATTTACCCTATATCATATATAAATGGTTTTGTTCTGTGTATCAAGCAGCTAAACTTTATATAATTTTAATACCTTAATAAATAATTTTACTCAAGTATAGTCTGAGTTCAATTATCGAAGAAAACTATTAAACTATTAATTAAGTATTTTAATAAAATCATTTTAAATAGTGAAAACTGGAGGAATTAGTTTCTTCTTTAAGTCAATTAAATCTTGTTAACGAAAACGAAACAATGCCACCTCCAGATTTCAATATTCAGCATATGAAATGCGTCCCCGAATTTGACGGCGACACACAATCATTATCTAGATTTTTATCTTGTTGTAAATTAATTGTTGATCAGTATTATTCTGCACCCCCAGAAAATACCTTCCAGAATAAATTAATCGTAAACTGCCTTGTTCAAAAATTAACAGGAAATGCTAAAATTATTGCTAGTACATGCCAAATTAATACTTGGACTACATTCAAAGATGTCCTTGTAAGGAATTTTGCAGACTCGAGAAATGAAGAAAATTTACTCATTGACCTCACTAATATGCGACAAAAACAAAATGAAACGGCACAATCGTTCTATGAACGTTGCCTTACACAATTAGGAGAAATGAACACGCACGCTGATATTCACGAAGCGAACGCGGCCGATAAAAATTTAAAATATAATCAATATAAAAAATTAACTTTATCAATTTATTTAAATGGACTTTTCGAACCATTGAGGACAAATGTCCTAAATATGCGACCAACTTCATTAGCCGAAGCATATCAGTTTATTAATGAACGGGAAAATAACGACCGAGTTTTTAATAGAAACAGACAAGTACAAAATAATCAAAACTCTCATAAAAAACCGCAAAATAACAATAATTATAACAGACAATCACCTGTACAAAGATATCCACAAAATATCCAACAATATTCCTTCCCAAGACCAAATAATTTTAATAACTTCCCGTCAACATCTAATTACCAACATAACCCAAATTTTACACCCAATGCTTATTATCAACCACCTAGGTTTTTCCAACAACCTAATAAACCTCCGACTAATGTGTTTGCACCCAAAAATACCCCTACTCAATTTTTACCTAAACCAACCCCTATGAGCGTTTCAACTCGTAACACGAATAAACCTAAAAATCAATTATATAATGCAGAAATGGCGGAAACAAATGAAAATCCACAGCTTGTAGATTTTTCAGATGAATCCGAATACACGGAAAATTTTGAATATTATAATTCCTCAATTGAAGATGATAATTCTCAAAATTTTCAAGAATCTTTGGAAATAGACAATCCGGAATAAATTATGTTTATAATAACACAAATTCAATTATTCATAATCGTTTACCATATATTACAATTCCCCCACATAATTTCAACCTCCTTATAGATACAGGATCCTCAAATTCATTTATCAGTAATAAAATTGCTAAAAAATACTACAAAGATTTTATTGTTGACGATAATACAGAAATTTACGGTTTAAATTCAAAAACACATTTAACACATAGTATTATAATTCCAATTTTCTCTATTTTTGATGTCCCTTACCCCCTTGACGTAAAATTTAATATATTAGATTTTCATCCCTTTTTTGATGGAATAATAGGTATAAATATTCTCAAAGCTTTAAAATCAAAATTAAATTTTATTTTACATCGCTTAGAAACACCATACAGTTGTATAAGTTTAAATTATAAAACAAAATTACCCCCAACAATTACTACTATTACTATTCCAGCGCGATCAAAATCAGTTGCAAATATCCCTGTCACATTAGAAAATGGCGAAGCTTTAATCCCCTATACAAAAATTAATAATTGCGAAATACCTGAATGCTGGGTTTCAGCAAAAAACTATTATGCCATAACTACCATATTAAACCCTAGTTCGAAACCTGTAACAGTTAATTTTTATAAAGCAATACGAACTCAAAAACTTAAAGAAACCGATTTTTTAGAATCCTATTCCACACAAGAAAAAATTTGTAAAAGTAAACATAATTTAAATAAACAAAAAATTGATTTTTCAAAATTTAGAACATCCCATTTAAATGAAGAAGAAAAATCTTCTTTATTTAAGGTACTAATAGAATACAGTGACATTTTCTACACTGAAAACCAAAATTTAACTTTTACTAATCAAATCAAACATAAAATTAGAACCACAGACGAACAACCAATTTACACTAAATCATATCGTTACCCATTTGTTCACAAAGAAGAAGTTAGACAACAAATTCAAAAAATGCTTAACCAAAAAATAATTCAACCCTCAATTTCTCCTTGGTCCTCTCCCATATGGATAGTACCTAAAAAACTTGACGCAAGCGGTGAACAAAAATGGCGAATCGTTATTGATTACCGCAAGCTTAACGAAAAAACTATTAACGATAAATACCCCCTGCCCAATATTTCGGATATACTGGACAAACTAGGTAAGGCCCAGTATTTCACCACGCTTGATTTAGCTTCTGGGTTTCACCAGATAGAAATCGAAGCGGAGGACCGAGAAAAGACCGCTTTTAATACCGAAAATGGCCATTATGAGTTCCTCAGAATGCCTTTCGGACTTAAAAATGCTCCAGCGACCTTCCAGAGGGTCATGGACAATGTCTTACGCGGCCTTCATGACGAGACTTGCCTCGTTTACCTCGATGACATAATTATCTATTCAACTTCCCTTCATGAACACATGGTTAAACTAAGAAAAGTTTTCGACAGACTAAGACAAACAAATTTTAAGGTACAACTTGACAAATCGGAATTTCTACAACGCGAAACAAACTACTTAGGACATGTAATTACAGAAAAAGGTATCAAACCAAATCCTGATAAAGTATCTGCTATAAAAAAATTCCCTATACCAAAAACTACCAAAGAAATAAAATCATTTTTAGGCCTTTTAGGTTATTATAGAAAATTCATTAAAGATTTCGCAAAAATTACCAAGCCAATGACCCTTTGCTTAAAGAAAGGTAGTAAAATTATACACAATAAAGAGTTTATCGAATGCTTCGAGACTTGCAAGAGTCTTTTGATTAACGACCCAATATTAAATTACCCTGATTTCTCTAAACCCTTTATCTTGACTACTGACGCGAGTGACGTCGCCATCGGTGCAGTTTTGTCGCAGGGCAATGTACCGAACGATTTACCCGTGGCA